GTCCGGCAACAAAATTAACGGTGGCATTAATTTCTTTTTCTCAATAGTGACTCCCAGCATCTGTAAGATTTAGGTCCCTTCTATGTTGTTGTTCATTCGTTCAGTCGTCTCCGACTCTTTGTGACCTCATGGACCAGCCCACGCCAGAGCTCCCTGTCGGCCGTCACCACCCCCAGCTCCTTCAAGGTCAGTCCAGTCACTTCAAGGATGCCATCCATCCATCTTGCCCTTGGTTGGCCCCTCTTCCTTTTGGCTTCCACTTTCCCCAGCATCATTGTCTTCTCTAGGCTTCCCTGTCTCCTCATGATGTGGCCAAAGGACTTCAACTTTGTCTCTAGTATAGGTCCCTTCTATACTGCCATATAATCCAGATGACCAAAGTAGATAATCCGCATTATCTGCCTTGAACTGGATTATATGAGTCTCCACTGTTCCACTGTTCCTATGAATAAATAGTTCACTAGATAACCCCCCCTCCCTTCCCAGGCATAACTCAATATTTGGTCTCTTGCGCTTTATCGCTGAATTAATTATTAAATTAATATCTCATTGCTCTGCAAACCATATAGATCTTTTAGGTTTCGGCGGTGACCAGGGGAGCATTTGCACAGCTAAAGCTTGTGCGCCAGCTGCGCCCGTACCTTGGGAAGTCTGACTTGGCCACGGTAGTCCACGCTCTGGTTACATCCCGTTTAGACTACTGCAACGCTCTCTACGTGGGGTTGCCTTTGAAGACGGCCCGGAAGCTCCAGCTAGTCCAACGCTCGGCAGCCATGATACTAACAGGAGCGGAGCACAGGGAGCATACAACTCCTCTGCTGCACCAGCTCCACTGGCTACCGATTTGCTACCGGGCTCAATTCAAAGTGCTGGCGTTGGCCTTTAAAGCCCTAAACGGTTCCGGCCCAAGCTACCTATCGACCGCATCTCTGCCTATGAACCCACCAGGACTTTGAGATCTTCCAGGGAGACCCTGCTCTCGATCCCGCCTGCTTCTCAAGCTCGGCTGGCGGGGACGAGAGATAGGGCCTTCTCGGTGGTGGCTCCTCGGCTGTGGAACGCCCTTCCTACGGACATTAGACTAGCACCATCTCTAATGGTATTCCGCAAAAAGGTGAAGACCTGGATGTTTGTACAGGCGTTTGAGTAATTTAGTGCAATCTGGTAATGGAACATAGGAATGGAACAATGGACGACGAACCTGGACTACGCTTGGATGATGAGAAGATTGGGTACGGTTGTTTTTTGTAATAATTGTGCATTGTAATTGCTTATTGGTAATTTATGGATAATGTGTTAAGTCAATTGTTATATGTTGTATGGAACCACTGCTGTTTCTACTGTTTTTACTGTTTGTGAACCGCTGTGAGTCGCCTTCGGGCTTGAGATACAGCGGTATATAAGCAAAGTAAATAAATAAATAAATAAATAATAAATATAATAATAATAATAATAATAATAATAAAAAACAACTATTATTATTTTAACAAAAATTAATTTTATTCTTGAGATTCTGTAAAAATATTAAAAAGTCATTCAATGATCATTATGGCAGTGAAATGAACTGCATTATTATTATTATTATTATTATTATTATTATTATTATTTCCCGCCATTAAAACCCCAAAGGGTCTTGGGGCGGCTTTACCTGGGGAGACATGGATTAAAATGGTCAGACATAGATTAAAATGAACAGTACAATTTATAAAAGCAACATCATAAAACAACATAAAACAACTATCAACAAACAACCAGTAGCCTGGCATAGTAGTCGAATTACTCGGGCAGGCAGGGGCTTGTGCAATACACTTGCAAGGACAAGGCTGATGGAAAAAGTGCAGGAACCAGATGATAAATTAGGACTAGAAGGGCAATGTCAATTAGAACAATATATCTATATAGGCCAGATTTACATGCAACTAAAAAAAAAAGCAATTGAACAAATGCAGCTGAATATTTCAGCCTGATATTCAAGCAAACTAAGCTCTGAAAACTCCTTTATCATTATAGTGTTTTATCCCTGGTCACTTTGGTCCCTGTTTTGTCTTTTTTCGCATATATAGACAGGGGCGGCTCGTCCATTACACAAAGTAAGCAGTCGCAGAACACTTTTTTTTTTGCCAGGGGCGCAGAGGCACCTCTGTAAATGCCCCTCGACTGCCACTTGAGGAGCGCCCTCTCAGCTCACAACAGCCCTAGCAGCCCTAGCAGTCCGGGGGGAGCCTCGGCTTTCATGCCTCGCTGCCGGGCGATCCGCTTCCCGGGGCCCTTGAGCCTCACCTAGCCCCTTTTGTTCCTGCTCCACCCGGCCACCGGGTGTGCAAGCAGAATCGGCGCTCAATCATTCTCTGCATTCGATCCCTTCCCCATGACTGGCTCCCTTTCCCGATCCCCCGGCGCTCCACCCGCCTCCTCTCCTCTCCCCAATCCGCGGGTGGGCCAAGGGGCGGAGCCGCCGCGCCTGGCCGCTTCGGGTCCGGAGGCGTGTCTGAAGACCCCAGCATGCGCACCAAAAGTCGCCTCTTCTCTTGACTTTCTCTTCAGCCATTGGGACCAAGAGAGAGAGAGAGAGAGAGAGAGAGAGAGAGCCCCTCCGGCTGGAGGTATCTCCCACCTCCACTCCCTCCTTTGTTTTTGCACCTACCTTCAGGAAAGGTGGGCATCTCCACCTCTCTCTCTCTCTCTCTCTTTCTCTGGTCCCAATGGCTGAGGAGAAAGTCAGGAGAAGAGGTGACTTTTGGTGCACACGCCAGGGTCTTCAGGCACGCCTCCGGACCCAAAGCGGCAAGTGTAGTTACTGGGATGTATAGTTCACCTACAATCAAAGAGCATTCTGAACTCCACCCATGATAGAATTGTACCAAATATGGCACACAGAACTCCCACGACAAACAGAAAATATATATCAAAGATTGGTTTGGGGGGGGGGGGGCGCCAAAATACTGTTTGCTTACCGTTGAAAATTACCTAGGGCCGCCTCTGTATATAGACATCCTTTCATCTTCACCTCAGACCACCAATATAGGGTGAGCATCAAAGGTGGGAATTGTGGTCCACCCTGCAATCAAAGAGCCCCCTGAAGCCCATCAATGACAGATCTGGGCCAAACTTGGCACACAGAACCCCCATGACTAACAGAACATACGAGAAGAATTTGAGGGGGGACACTGACCCACCCGGGTGGGCGTTGTAGTTCACCCTGCATCCAGTGATCACTCTGAAGTCCACCAATGATGGATCTAGACCAAACTTTGGCACATAGAACCCCAATGACTAACAGAACATATTGGAGGGGTTGGGAGAGGGGACTGCTTGTATCCATCAAAGGTAGTTGCCTGTTAAGATAAGATAAGATAATATAGAGGTGTGGAGCTTAAAATAGGAGATATCCCCAGGAAATAAGGATAATGCAAGAGTATGACAATGGGGGAGACGGAGTGAGCTCCCGTCCTTTCGCTCTAGCTCCTGCCAACTTAGCAGTTTGAAAACATGCAAATGTGACTAAATAAATAGGTACCACTTTGGCAGGGAAAGGCAAAGAGATCATCCATGTAATCTTTCCAGCCACACAACCTGGAGGTGACAGCACAGGCTCCTTGGGTTGAAAATGGAGAAAAGCACCTCCCCGGAGCCAGAGATGAGCACCGCCTCAAGAAGCCGGAAATGAAAGGAGAAGCCTTTGCCTTTGCCTGTGTTTGTGGGTCTTCATTGTATATGACTGCAAAGGCATTGTATGTTTGCCTTTGTATGTAAATGCTGTAATCTGCTCTGAGCCCTTTCGGGGAGAAGGGCGCAATATAAACAAAGTGTATTTTTTATTATTGAACAAATCACAACAAGAAGCCCAGAGGTGCTAGACATAGAAGAATTATATGAATTGCCCTGAGACCAGTGAAAAATTTGGCTTAAAATCTTTTAGGACATTTGTGCATCTGGCAATAAATTCTCAACCTCCCCTTTATTTTGAAGCATAGTGAATAATAATAATAATGATAATAATATTAGCAATAATAACAATAATAACAATAATGCCCAGGCCACTGCAAAGCACATCTCCTTTGCAAAAGTTGTTTTCTCCATCAGGTATATTCAGGTGAAAACCTTTCAGCTTCAGAAAAAGAAAAGACCAAATTGGTACCCTGTTTTCCCGAAAATAAGACAGTGTCTTATATTAATTTTTGCTCCCAAAGATTCGCTAGGACTTATTTTCAGGGGATGTCTTATTTTTCCATGAAGAAGAATTCACATTTATTGTTGAACCAAACAAAGAGAACATTTATTATATACTGTACAGTAGTTGTCAGTATATAATAAATATACTGGTCCTGACACACAGGGCCACAAAAAATAAGGACTGTAACGTCCTTGGCTCCCACACACTGTCTGGACCACTTGTATAGCAGGGATGCTATTGCAACTTCTGGCCACCAGGGGAGCATGCTTCCAAACAAAAACTTTGCTAGGTCTTACTTTTGGGGGAGGCCTTATATTTCGCAATTCAGCAAAATCTCTACTAGGTCTTATTTTCAAGGAATGTCTTATTTTCAGGGAAACGGATGACCTTTTCTCTAGAAAAGAATTAACTTTTTTTTTAATACAAAAGCAATTGCACACAAGTCATCACAATTGCACCTCTCCTCAGTTGAGCTTGTATTTCGAATGGATCAATTTGGGTGATTATTATTATTATTTTGGATATTACAGTATTTTTGATTTTCCTTTTGTAAAAAAAATATGTACCTACAGACACGGAAAATGCAATCACTCTTATGGGAAGTAAACACAAGCTTTTGCTCATTTTCCCCTTCAGTCTTTGAGGCCGAGAACTCAACACGAAAAGAAAAAGATTCCCTAGGTGAGAGAGAGGAAAGGGAAAAGATATACTTTACCAAAACAACATTGTTTCTGAACACAAATGGTATATTACGCACACTCTACCGTTTTCAGCCCGGACACAGGAAAGAAAGGGAATCTCGTGTAAACCTTCAGACAACACAAAGTTTAAAAAAAGGATTTCCCAGCAAGCCGAGACGGAAGTGTTGACGTTGGGGTCGTTTGGGTGCGCCGTTTCTTTTCCGTTTCCGTACCACTGAAACCCGTCCGTGTCTGCAGCTCCCCAGGAGGAGAAAGGAAACGCAATGAACAAAGTCGAACAATTCTTGGCTAAACCATCACAACAATAAACAATAGAAAGAGTAAGCACCAAATTTTCACCCCAAAACGCCTCAATTCTCCACTTTCCATGGTTGTTTTCCTTTTTGTTTTCATTAGAAAGCAGAAAAAAACATGCACAAATCATGGAACGCTCTTAAGATCACTTTAAGGCCCTTACAGAAACGAAATGCATCCTCAACAGGTTCCAATCTGCGTTTTCCCTTTGTTTAAAAACAGCCTTAAAAAGGACGCCTGCAGGTTACCAGCCAAAGCTTTAAGAACTGTGCCTTTAAATCAACTTTCTTTTTGCTACTATGCTGAGTTTTATTAAGACTGAGAATGGTTGTTAGGGAGGGAAGGGCAATTATGGATCTTAAAAAAAAAAGAGAGAGATAAGAAATATTTTAAGCTCTTGTTTTTGTTTTTTGGTATTTTGTTTCAGAGTCGAAGGCTGTCTGAAATCGACTTCCAGAAATCCAGACAAGTTTCTTTTAAAATTCTGACGTTTCTTGATTCCCAATATCAATTGCAAGGGGAAAAAAAAGCCAATGAAATAACTTGCGCTCAGAGATGGGCACCACCCCAATTTCAACAATGTCTTCAATAGATTTCCCATTCTATGAAATGGATGGAAGAGATCTTACTCACTGAATTGTTGGAGTACATGAGTGAGTTTGCCTCAGCAGCGCATTGGGTTAAACCCTTGTGCCAAATGAACTGCTGACCTGAAGACCTGAAGGTTGGCGGTTCAAATCCACAAGACAGGGTGAGCTCCTGTCTGTCATAAGAAAAGCCTCCCATAGGATGGTAACACATCCAGGCATCCCCTGGGCAACGTCCTTGCAGACGGCCAATTTTCTCACACCAGAAGTGACTTGTAGTATACAATTTTCTCACACCAGAAGTGACTTGTAGTATACAGTAGAGTCTCACTTATCCAACCTTCACTCATCCAACATTCTGCATTATACAACACAGTCCTACCTCCTGCCTGAATTCACAGCTCTTTCAATACATTGCAATGTTTTGGTGCTAAATTAGTAAATACAGTAATTACTACATAATGTTACCATGTACTGAACTGCTTTTTCTGTCAATTTGGTGCTTAATTTGTAAAATCATAACATAATTTGACGTTTAATAGGCTTTTTCTTAATCCCTCCTTATTATCCAACATTTTCGCTTATCCAACGCTCTGCTGGCCTGTTTATGTTGGATAAGCGAGACTCTAATGTATTCCCAAGCTGTTTCTGACATGATAATTTTTTTTGAATGAATGGGGTAACAAATCCACCAGAAAGTATATGCCAATAGCATGCAAATTGCATGGTTTTGGGAAAGTGCCCATCAAAAGCTGGCTTTTCATTGGCTTGGAAAGAAAAAAGGATTACACCCTGAGATTCAAGCTAAGTACAGTGAATCATAAAGAATCACCCCCGTTTTCCCCCTTCCACATCAGGGATGCAGTCGTGACGTGACAAACATAGTTCAGACTGGCCTGAGCAAACAGAATTTAAATATGTACTATTAAAATAAGCTCTGTGCCAAATTATAATACAGCCTGGATCATCCCTCTTCAAGCATAACTTGGTCATTTGCTTAGCCGGAGGGATAATCATGTTGGCCATTTTGTGCCAATTGAATAAAAATCCTTTATATATTCTTTTCATCTGATATTTTTTTTCTGTCTAGTTTCATATTTTTTAGAATAGATTATATACATATATCTATACACACGCCCGTGTGTGTATATATATATACACCTTTGAAATATACATACATATATCTATATATCTATCTCTGTCCTTAAAATCATCAGAGTTTTGCATGAGGGAGGTGACAGTACATAATGAAACTCAGCACCTAAGGGCATAAGGCAGTTGTAGGTTTTTTTGTTTGTTTGTTTTATTTTTTTTATTATTAGTAGTAGTATTATTATTATTTTCAATCAGCACCAATCCCTATGATAATGTCCTACACTTGGTGTAAGGTATAAAACTCAGAGGCGGAGGCGTTCGCGTTTTCCCCGGCCTCTAAAGTGTGGAAGTTTTGAAATACTGGTTGGTTTGTGTTGTTGTTTTTTCTCCTGTGCGTAAAAAACAAAAGAAAAGTTTTTCTTTTTGTTTTTACTTTACAAAACATAGAGGATCTCTCTCTTATTATGAGTATCGTTATTATTATTATTATTATTATTTTTGTTTGTTTTTTGGAAAGACATACTGCAACCAGAAAGAAAACTTATTGGAAGGTAAGTTTCATGAGCTGTGTTGACCGTAAACAATTAACCCAACCCTTCCCACCCCCAAATTCCCTCCTTTAATTTCTGTTTGTTTGTCTGTGACAGTGTATGCGTGTGTGTGTGTGTATATGTGTGTGTGTGTACATGTGTGGAATCTGTGTTTAAAGGAGCTTTTAAAGTGAAGATTCATACTGTAGCAATTCATACAAGAGAGGTCCGTCTCTGTACCTAATTCCTACAGCGGTGGGGGTGACGTACTGGAGAATGTTTATAGTCCTTCTCAGCCTCCTGTCTACAAAATGGGCGTCCCAAGCCGGGTACCTCTTTCGTGGGATGTCTATCTTAATGAGAGGGCCTTCGGGGTGGTAGGGTCTCCCGGACGGAGTCGATGGCACCATTGCTCTCACTTGGAAAACTGGCAAGCAAGTGTCGGCTGTAGGTTCCTCCTGTTGCTCCGTGGCCGCTCTGGTTGGCGTAGCCTGGGCCGCCCTGTACCCAGGGGTCTGCGGAGCCATGGGTTCAATGTCAGGGGGCAAAGGAATGCCCCAGAGCAACTCGGCGCAACAGGAGCTGGCAAAAATCTTAGCTCTCGGCCCCATGGGATGGAGGACGCCGTAATACAAGAGCATCAACGCGATCCCGGCGGCGAAGCTAAGAAAGACACAACAAAGTGCTGGCACAGCGTACGAGTCAGTGGTGTCGGGATCTCGGTAACAATACCAAAGGAGCGTCAAGGCCGCATTCTCTGTCAAGACTACGGTGTAATAGGCAAACATTCGGTATCGGGTCCGCCCTTCCTTGACATTAAACCAGCAAAAAATGTACACGATCCCTACCACCATGTTGAAGAGAATCTCCTCCCATTTAGACATGCAGAAGTCTGTTCCACCATGGATGATCCAGAAGGCCATTGCGCACCAGTGGACCACGACAAAGATCCCAAAATAGAGCTGGAAGATGGAAGCAAAGAGGGCAAAAGAGATAACTCTGGATGAGATGGTGAAGAGGCGCCAGAAGAGATGGATAAGGGCCCCTCTGTAGCTCATGCTCTTCTTGTCATCCCTAGAGTCCCGAAGAAGCTTGTGATAGGAGGCTAGCACCCAAGCCAGGGACATCAGGGAGGCCATAGAGGACAAACCTGCCGGAAGAACACACAAATCCACAGAGTTAAACGGGAAGCACGGGACAAGGGGCGCATCCTCCTGGGGGGGCAGGTGTGGAGCATGTTTACAATTGCGGGCCACGTTAGCGAAAAAGATCTAGAGGAGGAAGAGAGAGAGAAAAATAAGCAGAAGCGTACCCCACTTTGGATATCTTGTCATTGGCTGCCTATTCCTTCTAGGGGTGCATCGTCCTACAGTGTAGAAGGAATGCAGTTTGACGCCACTTTAACTGCCATGGCATCAGGGCAGGGCTTTAGCACAGCTGGTTAATCACCAACAGCAATAAGATCACACCAGTTGAAAGGCTGGCAGTTTGAAGCCCGGGTCAGGGTGAGCACCCGCCCTTCAGCCCAGCTCACTGTCCACCTAAGTAGTTCAAAAACAGCTGTGAGCTATGAGTGGAGAAATTAGGCACCGCTTAAGTGGAGAGGTATTTTATGGCACCATAAAAAGGAAGTACCAAAAAATGCCAGCAGTCACAAAGAAAGCCTGTGATCAAGGGCTCTTCGTCATACAGGATGAAGCAACAGCACTCTCCTATGGCCGGAATTGAGCACAACCTCCAGGACGCCGAAGTTGGGGAAAAAATGCCAACATCTGTTGTCTATCTTGTCTAATGGCATTGAATGTTTGCTGAGTATATGTTCTGTGATCCGCCTTAATTCTCCTTCAGGATGAGAAAGGCGGAATATAAATGCTGTAAATAATAAACAAACAAACAAATAAATAATCATGGCAGTCTTAAGCCCTCTCTACCTAAGATGACTTTTGCTTCATCAAACTAGATATCCCATGACAGTCAAAGAGGTGTCAAACTTTATTAATTCTACAGTGTAAAGGCGCCCTCGACTCCAGTATATGCTTCTTGTGTTAATGTTCTTATTTTAATGTCCAAAGCCCTATGCAACATAGCTCCCCTCTATCTTTCAACTCTTTCAAACTTAAAATTGCTTCCAGGCCTCTAAACGGGGGGCAAAGATGACAAATTTGATATGTTCTTGCCACTCTCTTTGGGTTATTTCAATTATATGGCAAACTAGAAAGGACTTCTAGTCAGTTGCTATTTTGGAAAAAAAGGGCCTTGTATTGTTGAAGGCTTTCACAGCCAGAATCACTGGGGTGTTGTGTGCTTTCCGGGCTGTATGGATGTTTTGGCAGGGTTTTCATTGTGCTAAAATTGATCCTAGAGGGTGAATATATCAGAATTGTCCCCAAACTCCCTAGAGCAGTGGTTCCCAACCTTTTTTTTGATCAGGGACTACTTGACCAGGGTCCACTTTGACCAGGGTCCACTCTTCAACATTAGTTACGAATCAATTTTTGCTCAACTTTAGATTCAGTTTGTTTATTTGGGGTGCTGATTCAAAAAACTGCATTGGATAGACCACGTCAGCTCTAGTTTCTGAAACATAACATGTTCTGTTGTGCGCTGGTCCTGTAAAGAATTTCCTTTAGAACAGGACGTGCAACCTTTGCCCAGCGGGAAACCAGGGGGCCCAAAGAGAAGTTCTCAGCAGTTTTCCACCACAAATGGTCTTTAGATGGCTTGTGAAGTATAACAAAGTCCTTTATTAATGAACAATCAAACAAAAACTTCTCTTTTCTTTAGTAAAGTTAAACAAATGGTTCCAGGCTTTTATGCAACTGGTCGCTTCCTAATTTTGTCCATGAAAGACAGGGAATTGTCTTCAATAACCGATTTTTTACTTTAAAGGAAAATCCCTTTTTAACTTCTCCCAGGCTGACTGTAATCTAACCCTTACTGATGTGGGTTCCGCTACCGGGTCGAACTGCGTCTCGAAGCACCGAGTGGACCTACCAGTAAAGGCTTAGATATTCTCCAGCTGGAGTTCTTTGGTCTTCCAAACTGTTTACCCTCTGAAATTCTTCAAAGCTTTAGGGCTGTTTCCCTGGAAATCTTTAGAATCTTTGGAGGCTCTTAAGACTGTTCTCCTCCGGAAAGTCTTAAGGGTTGAAGCTTTTGTACAGGGGAAGCTTGCACACATCCTGTACATTAGCTTTCCTTGCTGAGACTAACTAAAAATGGCTCCCTTCCCTTCCCAATTGCCATGAGCAAGTGGCGGGACCAAAACTTAACGATGATGGACAGGTGACTTGCCCTACGACTGCAACCAAAGGAAGCCACCTATCTGCAGAGTCCCTGAAACCTAGGACTGCAAACAAACATGTAATACAAAGCAAATAAAGTTGGAGCTTCTGGTACAGCCATACCAGCACAGAGCATATGCCATCCAGTAGTCGCCAACTGCTCACCCACACAAAACCGTATTTAATAATCTAGAGCTGATGTGTTCTATCCAATGCAATGTTCTGAATCAACAGCCCAAATAACCCCAGAAACAAAGGCACCAAGGTGCCCACAATTCCAGACACCACATGGAACGGCTCCTCTTAGCGGGTGGGAGGAGGAGGAGAAGCAGAAGTCAGGAGGCTTGTTGTCGCGCCTTTTATGGGTAGTAGGCTTGGGTAAGTTCGTTCGTAAGGTCCTAAAATCATAATTAATTTGGATTTAATTACCTTTTGATTCAATTTTGAGCCATGCAGGAATAGTGGGAGGAGCAATTCTGAACTGAAAAAACTTCCCCATTGTTTGGAATTATTTTTGGATGTGGCTTTGCA